TTAAGTGATTAATAATAATTTTTAACAATATTAAAATTCTGGAGCAATTCTGACATAAAATCAATCCTTTCATCAGAGGATCAGAATTTCAACTTTTACTTAAAGAAATTCAAGTTCATTTTTCAAAACTAAACCTGATACAAGTCATCAGCTATTGCTTTTCTATCACAAATTGAAGCAAAGACTAACAGCACAAATTCTGACGTCCAAAATGTGTTTTGGAAAACCTAGGTAAAAATTTGGCTGGGTGAGGTGGCTCAGGCCTGTAATCCTAACACTTTGGGAGGCCGAGGTGGGTGGATCACCTGAGGTCAGGAGTTCGAGACCAGCCTGGCCAACATGGTGAAACCTCATCTCTACTAAAAATACAAAAATTAGCCAGGCATGGTGGCAAGCTCCTGTAATCCTGGCTATTTGGGAGGCTGAGGCAGGAGAATACATTGAACAAAGGAGGCAGAGGTTGCAGTGAGCTGAGATGGCACCACTGCACTCCAGCCTGGGCGACAGAGCGAGACTCTGTCTCAAAAAAAAAAAAAAAAAAAAAAAAAGAAAAAGAAAAAAAGGAAAGAAAAAAGAAAACCTAGGTAAAAATTAGAAGATTAAGGGCACAATAGGAGAGTATTGCAAAGGCAGACTAGCAGTAATCACCATCACAAAGGCTGGGCCACCGGCAGACTGCAGTGTTTACTCAAAGCCCAGTGCTATCAATTAGTCCCCTTAATTATCTCAGGCTCTGCCATCACAAGAGGCAATTTTTGAAGCCCTCTCTAGCTCCTCTTCCTCTTTCATTCCTGTCACAAAAGGGCTATGAGGACAAAGCCTTCCTTGACTCTGGCTCTGGTTAGCTTCTGGTAGCCAAAATAGACATTACGTGAATTACTCCAATAAAGCAAAAACCACACTATCTTTCCTCTTGGACATGCCTATGACCTACAGCAGAAACTCTATTTAACGCATGCAACAAAATGCTTATCACTGTGATTTATAGTTTAGAAATATACTTTTCATGAAGAAATAAGCAGGAGAAAATCTGTAAATATCAGAAGTAAACGAATCTGAGGAGGTAGAAAAAACTCCCTGTATACCTGTGGTCTGGTGGTGTTCAGGAAATGTTGGGAGACTGAAGGCTGAGAGGAAGAACAACAATGAGGGGTCATTTTTCTCAGGTCTTTCAAAGAAGCAGCTTACACTGATATTGCAAAGAATTTCCTAGGTAAATTAAGCCAGGAAACCACCTGGACCTTCTTTCTAGAATAATCTGTTTTTGTAGTAAGTCCTAATAATAGAAGTTTGCTAAGCAATTGAGGTTAGAGAAGGAAATTATAATGGAGAAAAATAGATTAAGAATTCTTAAAAACGATCAAGAGTAAATCACTGTTTAAAATCCAGTTGTATGTGTACATAGAAGGAATAATATTTCATATACATAATAAAATAAATTATATAGTAATTAAAAATTTTAAATAAAATGTATCAGATGTGTAAACATAATTTATCGGATGTATAAATATATAATAAATATAAAATTTTGAGTGGTAGACAGTATAGTCTCCAAGTTTGAGAATATAAGCAGTTTTTCTTAGTGGAAATATAAGTTTGGTCCTAGGCATGCCTAAAGATTATCCAAGTAGACCAAAGTTTATACATATACATATATGTATATGTATATGTATATGATAATCTTGTATCATATATAATAACCCTTATGCATGTCTAGGACCAAACTCATATTTCCACTATGAAAAACTGTTTATAAATATTTCCTTATTTGGAGACTGCTATCTACCATTCAAAATTTTATAGTTAGAAACCTGGGAGTCATTCTAGATGCTTCCCTTCCTTTCACCCCCCACACCATGAAACCCTATGCCATCTCCCCTACATTTGTTCTACTCCCTCGTAATGTATTTGCTCATCTCTATTTTCATTGACCTTACTGGCCCTCAACATGTCTCACTTGGATTATGCAAGAGCCTCTTTACTAATCCTTCTGCCTCTAGGCTTGTGCCATTCCAGTTATCTCTATGTTTCTTAGTAGGAGTGATCATTCTGTAACAGAAATTTGATCCTGTCTTCCCTCTCAAGCAACTTTAGCAGCCTTCGACAGCTCTAGTCTAGCTCTTGTAGCCCTTTGCACCTCCCAAGAACTAACATTTATGGAGCTCATTTAATATCTCATGTCCTGCTGCTCTCCCCAGTTGCCCAATTGCACAGCTACATCAAACTAAACATGACACTAAGTCTTGTATGTCCATATCTCTTGGTTTGGGCTGCCCTAAAAGCAGATCCTGAAAAAATAATATGGGTGCAAATAGATTATTGTGAGGATGAAGAGAAGAGAAACAGGGAAGGGAGAAAACTAAATCAAGGATGTGTTAAAGAACAGGTTATGGGCCAGGTGCGCCCAGCACTTTGGGAGGCCAAGGTGATGGAGCACTTGAGGTCAGGAGTTTGAGACCAGACTGGCCAACATGGTGAAACCCCATCTCTACTAAAAATACCAAAATTAGCCGGAGTGGTGGCCTGTGCCTGTAATCCCAGCTACTCAGCTGGCTGAGGCAGGAGAATTGCTTGAATATGGGAGGCAGAAGTTGCAGTGAGCCGAGATAGTGCCACTATACTCCAGTCTGGGCGACAGAATAAGATTCAGTCTCAAAAACAAAACAAACAAACAAACAAAAAACAGGTTAGGGCTGAGGATCCTGTGAGAACTGTACAGAATATACTCAGAATTGTACTACTGAACATTAGGGAGGTGGGGGTATTATCCACCAATTTATTGTTTGAGGGTCACTACTGGAGGCGTTAAAACTCCTCTGCATTCTAGCAAATAGCTCCTTGTGCAGAGAACGTCCTGAGGCAGAGAAATATAGAAAGCCATTGGCAGATGACCTCCAGGTGAACCAAAGGCACCAATAACATCTGGTATACCACATAATGTACATATCATGTCCTTTTTCTCAATTGATTTTTCCTTCCACTTGTCTTGGATTCTGCCTATGGATGCCTTTTTTGACCTCCTCTGTAAGTGCTTTACTTTCTCTTCTGTGCAAATTCTCTTCTGCTATAACTATTACTTTATAAGTCTGACCTCACACTAGACTCTTGGCTCCCTGAGGGTAGTATCTTTATTACCTACCTAACTTGGTGTTTGGCACAGGACAGATGCTCAGTGTCTTGAGAACAAGAGCATGACTGTGTGCATTAAAGAGAAGAAGATCCTATTTCCATGTTCCATATGTAATTGAGAAAATTTTCAAAGAAACGAAATATATGCTCCTACATCCTGAATCATATAAAATTAAGTGGAAGGAGCACCAAGCTAGAAATCTCAGGTCCTGATTCAAGTCAGTTTGGCTCAGTTGCTTTTCCTACAAAAAACAAGTGATGGTGAATGACCTTTAGGTTTCTTTTAAATTCCATAGATTTCAAGTGACTGAATCTGTGTGAAAGTGAAAGCTGAAGCCCACAGACTGTACAGCAATCACATATGGAAACGCTTATGTTTGTGATATTGATCTGGATTCAAGAAAATACAGGTGACGCAGACTTGAGATGCTGGCAGGTTTGTAATGTAATGTTATGTGTTCAAGAAAAGACAAGGTCAGCACAGGTCTCCTGCCTGAGAGGAGACCTCCAGGGAGGGGCCTGGCCATTGCACAGTAACTAGCTGGGCAGCATGGTGGCCTCCAAGCTGGCAGATGCCACTGTTCCAGATGGACAGTGTTTGGTATGCCAGCCTCTGTGCAGCATGCTACTACTGGATCCTACTTAGGTCACAGACCCACAGTCACTTCCTGAGCTCTCACTGAAGGTAGGCTTGGTCTACATTTCTTGATGGGAAGAGACTAACTTGGAACACTGAATACAGGCATGCTTGGCTTTGCTGACTTCTCTAGACAGTCTTAATTTTATTAGAATGTGACTGGTGGTGAGGGACTGGGTAAGAGTAAGGAAGGATAGGTGGGCTTAGGGGTCCTATGTATAATGAACTAAAAAATGTTGAGGATGTTCATTTCAGAATACAGTTTCCCTCTCTTAAAATGTTCTGAATATAGTTACTGGTATTCTGTGAACATTGAATGTAGATGGATAATATTTCCTTAAGAAGCTTGACTTTAGAAGCTTCAAATTGACAAATTCTTAAAAATACAAAATACATAATTAAAAAATAGGTAACACATATGTGCTGTTTAGAATTAATTATAAGAAATTTGATTGAATATCCTCAATATGCCTAAGGGATATGTCATATTCCTATCAGAAAAATGGAGGCATTATGATCAACGATTCTTACTTGGTGAGGGATGGGTTGGGGAGAAGAAAAGAAGACCCAGAGGGTTACTTGTGTCCTTTCTAGAGAATTATTGTTTCTGAGGACAGTCCACAGGGTGGGATGGGGCAGGATGGGATGGGGTAGTCTAAATAGCCAACCAGGCCAGTAGTAGTCCCTGGTACACTGGCTTTCACAATGCCCATGGGTCATGTGTGACTTCAGGGACCTATTGTTTTAGACGGCTCCCTTCCCTTATTCATGGAAGTACTCTAGAAGAAGGGACAGAGCGAAAATAAATAAACCTAGGAGCCTATAACGGAAAGCACATGAATGATGGTAATGAGCACTTTCAGGCTACGCTCTGTAGGGCTGAGGGCTTGGCTTGTTCTGGTCTAGGCTTTGTTTCCTTCAATGACTGAAGGAGAATCACTGGACTCCTCTGGATCTCAGTGGAAAAGGGACTGGATGACCTCTTAGGTCTCTTCCAGCAATGATAGTCAAATTTATGACACCAACAAGAAAAAAAGACTGGCAAGAGTATGTGGCCCAGAAAAATGAGAAAGTAATATACATCTCAATATAGAAAGCCAATGATGGGGAAAGAACAAAGAGGAAAGATGGCCAAGATGACCACTTGAAATCCTATGAAATGACCCTAGAATGGGCAAAATTCAGGAGATGTTCCAAAAGTTGAGTCTAGATTGAGATCAAGTAGATGCCTTACCTTCCAGTGACAGCAAAGCACAATGTGCACATTGCATGTAAGAGTCCTGTGGCATGCTGCAGAAATGTGGCCATCTTGGGATTCTCATCCACTGGGCCTTGCACCGAGAGGAAGCAGGCACACAGTTTGTCAATCAGACCCATGTTCACCACGTAGCTAGATGTGGGGGAGAAATGCATGTTATCAATCTGAATAGGCCAGCAACATCTTCACCTTCAGTGATGAATCTTATAATACACAGGCTTGGACCCCTCAAACAAGCAGACACAACACAAGTTTGAGTAAAGCATCTCAAGTAAGAATTTCCTTAGATTTACTCCTGAATAATCAGCTCTTTCTGTAAGTATTTTTTTCTCTCTTCTTTCTTTTGGTTATTTGAATATTATTTTTCAAGAAAAAATGAATGAAAATGATTGTCTAGTCATTCTTACTGGTTTGAAGAGTCTAACAACAAGTGAAATGATTTATAATGACGTTTATGCTCTTTTATTTATTTATTTATTTTTTGAGACAGAGTCTCGCTTTGTCGCCCGGGCTGGAGTGCAGTGGCCGGATCTCAGCTCACTGCAAGCTCCACCTCCCAGGTTTATGCCATTCTCCTGCCTCAGCCTCCCGAGTAGCTGGGACTACAGGCGCCTGCCACCTCGCCCGGCTAGTTTTTTGTATTTTTAGTAGAGACGGGGTTTCACTGTGTTAGCCAGGATGGTCTCGATCTCCTGACCTCGTGATCCGCCCGTCTCGGCCTCCCAAAGCGCTGAGATTACAGGCTTGAGCCACTGCGCCTGGCCCCTTTATGCTCTTAAAAAGCGTTCCTTTTTAAACTACTAGGGAGCCCCAATGCAAGATTTAGAAGATATAGTACAATGATTCAACCCAGACACCCTTGTTACTTTTTTTTCTTTTTTTAGAGACAGGGTCTCACTCTGTCACCCGGGCTGGAGTGCAGAGGCATGATCATAGCTCACTACAACTCTAACCTCCCGGGTTCAAGAGATCTTCCTGCCTCAGTCTCGAAAGTAGTTGGGACTACACCTGTGTACCACCACACCCAGTTAATTTTTTATTTTTTATTTGTAGAAATGGGGTTTTGCTATACTGACGAGGCTCTTCTTGAACTTCTGGCCTGAAGTGATCCTCCTGCCTTGGCCTCCCAAAGTGCTACAATTATAGGCATGGGCCACCATGCCTGGCCACAACTTAAACTTCTAAAGCCAGTTGTAGGTTCCCTATTTTTAAAGACTCCATCACCATTAACAGCATAACAAACAGTGAGAATCTAATTGCTTTTATTGAAAAGTACCAGTCCTGAGAGTTGACAATAACATTTAAGAAATAATTTCCATCTTTTCAGTACAAAAAACAGTTTTCTAGAGCTGTTTGTAAACTGGACTGACAATAGTAACTCTTTTATTAATCCACAGAGCAGCAATCATTGAAAAGAATATTTTAAGACTATAAAAGACCTTGTAGATAAATCAACCTTGGCCTAGAATTCAATGCTACTGCACTGACATGTATGAGAAGGGTAGGACTGCAAATATAGCAGTTCTGCAAATCAACATGTTAACTTTCAGAGATATACACAAAGGAATTGAGGTTTTGGTGTGTAAGTGCACTACAGGCCCCACCACTATTCATTTAACAACACAGGTTTTTGTAAAAGGAAGGAGAAACTGATGAGTAATTCATGTTTAGAGCCATTCCAAGTTTACTACTTTGAAGACACAAAATAATGCCTCCTTTCATCTTTTACATTAGAAAATGTATCTACCTGGGCTACTGAGCACTCCTACAGTTTTAAAATTGGGAAATACGAAATGATGACCACTAGACCTCTTCTAATAAAGGAAATTGATAGACTGATATATGTACACACTGAGAATCTTATTACAATCTGATTTAACAAAATTAGACTTTTAAAAACTCGCTTGTACATTTGCACAGAACTCTTCGATTTAGAAAGTGTTTTGTCTGTAGCCAGACATGGGGGATCACACCTGTAATCCCAGGACGTTAGGAGGCCGAGGCAGGTGGATCACTTGAGGTCAGGAGTTCCAGACCAGCCTGGCCAATACGGTGAAACCCTGTCTCTACTAAAAATACAAAAATTAGCCAGGCATGGTGGCTGGTACCTGTAGTCCCAGTTACTCAGGAGGCTGAGGCAGGAGAATCGCTTGAACCCAGGAAGTCAAAGTTGCAGTAAGCCAACATCATGCCACTGCACTCCAGCCTGGGCAACAAAGTGAGACTCCATCTGAAGAAAAAAAAATCAAGTGTTTTGACTGGGTACAGTAGCTTACAATTGTAATCCCTGCACTTTGGGAGGCTTAGGCAGGAGGACTGTTTGAGCCTAGAAGTTTGAGACTGGCCTGAGCAACATAGTGAGACCCTGTCTATACACACACGCACATACACACATTAGCAAACAAAATAGAATAAAGTGTTTTTCATCTTAATCATCCCAATGAATTATCCCAAGAATACCATTAGGGAGCAGACTGTGAAAGCTTTGGTTTTTATCTGCCCAGTACATTCTCCTCTCCTATTCCATATGGTCCTGGGGGCCTTGTTAAAGATGCTACCCTCTTGCTAATCCAGGAGTGAGCATGTGCTTCAGGACAGTCAAAGTACTCATCACCTTGGCCATAATGACTGGTTCCAGGATGAGTATATGACCTAGGGAGGACCACTCAACATCTTCTGTGGGATTAATATATGACCATAGGAAAAATCTCTTTCCACTGGGGATATCTAAACTAAAACGTGTAACTGTGGGGGTGCTGGTAGTCACCTTGTTACATGGAGAACATCTGCTTAGAGAATATAGCCAAGTAGAGATAAGTAGAACTGAAAGAAACAGAGCTGTAATGGCATATGGGGACGCATTCTGAGAACTGCATTATTAGGCAACTTTGTCATTGTGCAAATATCATAGAGTGTACTTATACAAACTTAGATAGTATAGCCTAACCTAGGCTATATGGAATAGCCTAATGTTCCCAAGCTACAAACATATACAATATGTTACTGCAGGGAACAATGCAGGCAACTGTAACACAATGGTAAGTATTTGTATATCTAAACATTGAAAGGGTACAGTAAAAATACAGTATTGTATTCTTACAGGACCACTATTGTATATGTGGTCTGTTGTTGACTGAAAAGTCATTATGCAGTGCATTACTATACTTAGACCTCGGCATCTACTTCAAACCTTGACCTTCCCAGGTACACAAGTCATTTTACTATGCTGTTTTACTTATGTTATTTCAAGCTAAGATTCTAAAAGAGTTCTAACCAGAGTGAAAACGTGTTTTTTTCTGATTATAAGGGTAACATAGGCTCATCAAAGAAATTTATATAGTAAAGAAAAGCAGAAAAATAAGTAGAAAAAGTTGGCCATAATTTCACCTTTCAAAGACAATCCAGTTTGATAATTTTCCTTTCATGTTTTTCTATTTGATTCTTTCTCCACATGATTGACATTATACTGAATTTCATTCAATGGCAATTTAGGCCCCTTCTATGTCATTAAAATATCTTGGTTAACCATTATATTTTAAATCTTTAAAAACTGTATTATTGAAAAGTTAACATAAACCTTAAAAAAATTGACAGAAGAGGATAACAAATACCCATGCATTCATCACACAGCCCTGACTACCATCAATCCATGGCCAATCCCATCTGTCCACACCCATCCTGCATAAAGTTTAAGAAAATCCAAGGCATATTTTTTCCTTTGTAAATGTTTCCATTTCTATCTCTAAAAAAAAAATCACTTAAAAAAACAAAACCACATCATTATCACATCTAAAAATCACCATTCCTTAATACCATCAAATAACTGGTGTTCAAATTTCTAAATGTACCATAAATGTCTTTTTTTTAAAAAAAATTAGAATCCAAACAAGAACCACACATTGTGACTGGTTAATATGACTTAAGTCTCTTTTTAATCTGTTAGCTACCCTCCACCTTTTTAAACCCCCTTTGAAAATGTATGTATTTGTTGATGAAACCTGGTTGTTCATCCTATACACTTTCCCACAAGTTGAATTTTACTGATTATATCCCTGTGGTGTCACAAAACATTTTTTTGAACTATTTATTTCCTGTAAAATGATCTAGGTTCTAGAGATCTGACTGGATACATAAATGTAATTTTTAATGATTGAATAATATTCTACCAGTGGAATATTTTTGCAACTTTTGGTTGTTTTCAATATTCCTTATTATAAACCATGCTGTGCCGAACATTTTGAGTAGAAATCCTTGCCAGATTTCAGACTATTTTCCACAAGTGGAATTACTGAGTCAAAGGGTATGCATATTTTTAGGGCTCTTGACATAGATAGCCACATTATATTCAAGAAACATTAAATAAATTTATAGTCTCACCAGCAAGGTATGAGAAAATCCAGTTCACTATGTGGAAGTTGGTATGACTATCCCCATTTGATAGACAAGGAGACTGATGCTCAAGGAGGGCAACGCATAAGCTCAAGCAAGACAGCTGGAACATTCTATGGTTTTCTGACTCCTGATAAGAGGGTCCTTTGCACTGAATTCACTGCTTTTCTGTGGCATTTTTTTGGTTCTTACTGAGGTCTAGCTTCAAAACCATGTAGTCTCAAGATGAAAATGGCTTAGCTAGGTTTCCCGTACTGACCTTGAAATAGCCAGAAAGGCAGAAAGACTACAAAATGAGTGAAGAGATAAAAAGCATTGTAAAGCCAAGGCAAACTAAAACAACCACTTGTTGAGTAGTTGGTCCTTTCTGAGTATCATCTCCTATGGTTACTGGGCCATCTATGGTGCCTACTAATGAGTCAGACTAATGTTTTTTTAAATTGCCTGTGTCTTGAAAATTACATGGACAATCTTTAAATCACTGGCTAAGAAGATGCTTATACTAAATGGCTCTAAAAGGTCAGTGTAGAGAAATTCATTTTGTCAACCTCACAGTTTTGAGCGAAGAATATGGAATTTTCTAATGAATACTGGGGTCAAAAGCAACATATCTTTTGCATTGTAACTATTAGGTTGAAATTATAATGCTAAGACTATTACCACACCCAGGATGAAAAGCTTTATGTAGAAAACTTCCTAGTCTTGGAACACACATCCTGGGAAAGAGACATGCTGCTGTAAAT